TAAACCCTAACCCCTAAACCCCAATTGCATGCCCAGAGACAACTCTGAGCGCTGCTCCTTCAAATCCGACAGACTTTGCTGGAGGTCCTCTGAGGGCTTCTTTCCGGTGGAAGTGCGTGGAGAACCGTGGGGTTTAGGGTTTAGGGGTTGTATCTTTAGGGTTCCGGTTTGGGGTTTAGGGTTTAGGGGCCTTATTAATTAGAATAAGGTTTTGGGGTATATTATGCTATAATCATAATAAGGCCCCACAATAGTCTTGGAAGTAATTGTTGAGGCCCCTATATCAGGTGATACCTGTTCCCCAAACCTTCAACTCCAGCGACTTTAACACTGGTTCGGGTGGCGAATAGGGAGTCTTGTGGGTGCATCGACCCAGTAGCATGCGAAAAGGCAGGCGGCTGAGATGTGGGCTTTTAGATCCGGGCTTAGTTGCACGGTTTGGGGCCCAATACCCTAAACGGCCCTAAACCCTCACTATGGAATACACTGTCGGCATGTGCGGAGCCGGTGATACCGAACAAGGCCCAAAGAGTGTAGAGTAGCTCGAAGCTGAGATTCAGGGTTGTCGATCTCGACACTTCAGGGTTTAGGATCTAGGATCCTATTTGTCTCCTTGGCACCTGCCTTTTTTCAGTCTGTCTCCTACCTGCTAATATGAATATTAGGGTTTAGGGCTTATATAATATAAACCCTCAACCCTAAACCCTATTTTGTAACTGAGGGCAAGTTGGCGTCTTGCGGGGCAGTGGCAGCTTTTATCAAGTCCTTGACACGGCACTCCTCGGCCAAAAGTGCTTCTTCGATCCAGACCAGCTTCAACCCACGAACGCCTACTTTTTTTGTAGGGTCCCTATAAATTCCGTATTGCGCTTTATAATAACACCTACAAAAACTAGGTTTCGGTAGGATTGCGACCTTCACACCATGTAAATACTGAGGCCACCACCAAATCATTAGTGAGTAGTTTTCGAGTGGATGGGTGAATGAGCGAGGAATTAGTGAGCAATTAGCGAGAGATTAGCCAGAAACTCGTGAGAAATTGAGACATTGAGCGAGAAATCCGGGTAGAATATGGCAACCCGTGAGTGCTCCTGACACTTCGAACCGTGACAGGGGCACACGAACGGAGTGAGATATCGACCAACTCAGGAATGCACCTATAGTCTCCATTCTAGTTCCTTTGTTGGGTTACTGTAACCCATTCTATGTTTCTGGTTAGCCAAAAAGGGAACTACAATGGAGACTGTAGGTAGATGTCATCCATCCGACGGACAGACAGTCCAGCACATAATGTAGGGGCCTAAACAATACCAATACCATTTTCGGGGTTCCTTATGAAAATTCGAATATAATGGGCTAGAAAACCCATTCTAATTTATTAGGCCCCTACTATAGAACCCTATCATAGATCCCTTATAGAACTATTTAAGGATCTCTTTAAAGGAACCCTGTAAAACCCTGTTCTAATCATTAAGGCCCCTACATTAGACAGACACATTCGCATGGACAGCGGGGCAATCAGGTGGGAAGGCACAGTCAACGACCATGCAGGCAGGCTCTTACTATCATTGCTATCAATAGTATTGCGGTTGTTATATTGTTACCAGTTTGTTATTATTGTTGTTATTACTGTCTATACATATATATATATATATACACATCTATATATATATATATATACATACATATATATATATACACACACACACATATATATATATATATTCTTGTTATTATTCTAAATATTATGATACTATTGTTTATTATTACTAGGAGACAAGCTAGCCCCCTAGCCTGGAACGACTTTGCCGCAGCCTCTCCAGCCTCTGTCGTGAGTCCTTGGTGCACCGGGCGGGCCCTCCGGAGCACGGGGTCTTTTTGGTGAGGTCTGAGGGTTTAGAGTTTCGGGTTTCTGTTCTGAGATTGTAACATGAAGAGGCTTGCTTACGACTTGGTGGTTCTATGATGGCAATGGACAACGTACTCGAACCAGGACTCCAGAAGCACCGCAGCTTTGAGCAACCCTTCATATTCAAAGTAATAGGGCTGTCGTTTGACTGGCGAGTTGGTGGTGGCAGGCTCGCAATAATGATCATTTTGATCTTGACAGCTAATCCCAGTTTTCCTACCACACCTACTGCCTCTTTTCAAAACTTTTGCGGCAGTTCTGCACACTAGCACCACGACGACGACGACCACAAGCACTACGACTTTTCGGATCCCAGGCTCTTTTCACCTCGAGAAGCTTCATCTGCAAGAAGACAGCCACCACAGAAAGGTCCTGCGATCTCAACTCAGCTCTTTCGAATTTGTGAGCTATAGCTTTCATGCCTTTGAGGGCATTGTAGGGTAGAGGGTTTGGGGCATTCTGGATGGAACTTCGGGATCCAGTTGTGGGGTTTGTGGTTGCCTTGTGAAATATCGAAAATTCTGAAAAGCAGCTCGGGGTTAGGAGTCTTAAGTCTTTGGTGTAGGTTCCTGGTCATCCTGCCCTTGATACGAGCAGCCCTTCTTATAGTATGAGGGTTTAGGGTTTACGGGTGATAGAAACCCTGAAAGGAACCCTGCACGCCGGTTTAGGCTTAGAGCTGCTTGCGACTAAGGTTTAGGGTTTAGGGTTTAGGGTAAGGGTTTAGGGCTTAGTTTTCAGGCTTTCAGGGTTTTCTTTTTTCGGCAACAAGTGGCTACAACAACATCATAACCAGTAGCAAAAGGCCTGAAGTGCTTGTGACCTTCAAATCGCAACTGGCTACATGAGCCAGTCACGTGGTGTTGCATCCCAGCGCCGTTACATGAACTTTCTGGATTTCTGGACGCCGCGGTATCGAAGTTTTGATATTTAGCACTGCGTAACATCACCTCTAATCCCGAGCCATAGACCCCACCCAGAGAACCCAATAGTCCTTAATAAGGAATATATACCTTAAATCATGATATGCAGGGCCCTATAATTTAAGGTATGTTCCTTAACTAAGGGGTATTGGGTTCTCTGAGTACACTACGTAGAAGGCACTCAAAAGTCATCGGCGCCTGGATGCCCACGAAATTTGACACTTATAAGCCCTAAACCCGAAACCGAAACGCTAAGCTTTTTCCCTAAACCCTACACCCTAAACCCTAAACCCAAACCCTAAACCCTAAACCCTAAACCCTAAGAGTTCAAGCGGGGAGTCTCTACGTTGGAGGCTTCGAGAAAGGCCCCCAGGGGTTCAGCTCGGAGCTCGGGTGCAATGCCAGGCAGTGTTAAAGGAAACTACAGGTTTAGGGTTTAAGGTTTAGGGTTTACGGTTTAAGGTTTAGGGTTTAGGGTTTAAGGTTTAGGGTTTAGGGTTTCGGGCTTGGTGGAGTTTACGGTATGTGGGGCTTCTATAAGGCTCCTATAACGGTAACTACCCACCTGAAAATGTCCTAGAGAGTGGATGAAACGCGCCTCATCCTCTAACACCGGCTCAGGGTTTAATGTAGGGACCTTGAAAATTAGAATAAGGTGTGGGGGGGTTCCTTACTATAATCATAGTATAACATACCCCAAAACCCTATTCTATTTATCAAGGCCCCCATATTAGGGCTTCTAGGGTTTAGGGTGTCAGGGTTTCAGGGTTTAGGGTTTCAGGGTTAAATATAGGGGCCTTAATGATTAGAATAGGGTTTTGGGGGCCCATTATACCATAATTATAATAAGGAACCTCCAAAATAGTATAGGTAATCATTTAGGTTCCTATACTTAGGGCTTCTGAGTTCTAGGATTTCAGGTTTCAGGGTTTAGGGCTTCAGGGTTTAGGCTTCAGGGCTGGCTCAGGGTTTCTAGGGTTTAGGGCTTCTAGGGCTCGGTTTTTAGGGTTTATAGGGTTTATAGGGGTTTAGGGTTTAGGGTTTATAGGGATCTATTTCGAAAGGGTCACATCTGACGGCATCTTAAAGAGTCTGCCCCCAGCCCCAAGAGATCGCCTACACTCCTGAACCTGAAGGTTCACGATGCAAGGAGTAACTATATTAGGCCCTTCACCCTAGTCTAATAACCTTAAACAAATCCCACACCCTGCAAGAACACCAAGGACCATAAGGGACGGACCTGCTGCACTTTCGCAGCAAGCGTTTCCGACGCCTTGGCGCGACAGAATGGTTTCGGCTTGGTTCTTTCGCATTTCAAGGAATGTAGGTCTTTGGGCTTTCGCGCAAAAAAATCCTTACAGTGTCATTTACAAGGCTCTTTATATGGGGGTTGTAGAGTTTCATGAAAATTTCAGTTCTGTTGAGTTGAGAGCGTTTGGAGGATGTTTCGCGAACACGTGGTCGGATGTGAGGTGTGAGGCAGGCCGCGCAAAGCCATGCTTGCTTTCTGTATTCGTCGTCTGAGGCGGCATACGAACACACAACAATCACCGACATACCTCTGGCACACTGAGAGCGATCAAATCAAACCGAAATGCTAGTGACCCATAAGCACAACAAGATTGCATGCCCTCCGGTGCTATAACAGGGTTCACCCTAAACCCTAAACCCTAAACCCTAAACCTTCAAACATTCCAGCCTTCGACCGTAGAGTGCCACTCAACGCGAGAAACCCAATAGCCGTGATGCACCTAATCATCCTTAAACCCCGACCCTGAAGCCGTCAAGCCCGACATCTTTAATGAAGCGCAGCGACCAAATAAATTCGAACAGCCCGGCACCGCCAGATTGAAAATGTAATCCGAAAGTGCTCGAAAATGACGGCATCGATATGTCGGCTGCATTTGCCAGCTTCACAACTAAATATGGCTGTTGCCACAGGACCAACGATACTCTTCGAACTCGATATGTTTTCAGAGTCGAGTGATCAAGCCTCAGCCATCACAATTCAAGCCTGCTTTTTTGGTGGCGAAGGTTGCGTCTAGGGTACAGGGCGATTACCCGTGAGCCCAACCTAGCTTCAACACATTATCTCCCGGAGTTCAGATTATGTATAAGGTGCTGATAGAAACTCATATAGTGTAGGGGCCTAAAGAATTAGAATAGGGTTTTGGGGTTTTTATACTTTATATAATCATAAGAAGGAGCCGTCAAAATAGAATAGGAGGGTCGGGAGACTTAGTAAGTAGGTAATAAGTAGACTTATAAGTACCCTAAAAGGGACCCTAATTGGGGTTATAGTACTTATAAGCCTATAAATAACCATTTACTAAGTCCCCCGACCCTCCAAGTAAACTCAAAACCCTAAGTCCAATCCCTGAACCTTGAATCTCCCCTAAACCCTAAACCCTAAACCCTAAACCCTAAACCCTCCAAAACTATCCCTCAACCTTTCAACTCTATTCCTTCCCAACCCTACTGTAGGAACCTGATGAAGAAGCCTTTGGAGGCAGCCAGGGCCGGGTAGCTTGAAGGGACTTGACGGCCTCCTCTTGGTCGTCCTCGTGAGATTGTTTTTGAGAAGCGTCGGGTTTAGGGTCTGCGGCTTCAGGGTTTGGGGTTTGGGGCTTAGGGTTTAGGGTTTTAGGGTTTAGGGTTTAGGGTTTTAGGGTTTGGGGTTTAGGGTTTTAGGGTTTGGGGTTTGGGGTTTTAGGGTTTAGGGTTCGTTTCTGGGTA